CAATGGCTGGCCTGAAGCCCAGAAGTCTTGACATCCTAGATAGAATGAGCTGTCTTCCAGTCACAGGGACAGGAATAGTGCTGTCTGTGTCCCCTCTCTCATCAGCACACAGAGACAACTTAAACTGATACAAAGGGCAGTTTTCTGCCACAGCACCAGGCCTAATGGTCTAGCTAGGTTCTGGGCCTTGATATGCTTGTGCCTGCACTGACCCAGTCCCCCATCTATTCTTTAGGGTCTACGAATTTTCCTTTGGTGTGCACTTAGGGGCATCCAATAGATGGTACTGGTCAGTGCCTACAATATAAGGCTGGTTTCCAAAGGAAAACCAGGATACTGTCGCTAGAAGGAGAGAGAATAAATGAGGAACAGGAAAAACAATATAATGACCTCAAATAAGCATGATGTTGATACCAGCAGGTGAAATACTATAATTATTGCAGAAAAATAACATCAACATGTGTGCAGAACTGACTCAAACAACCTGGGTGACTGCCAGCGCTCCCCACAGGAACATAGTAAAGTCCAGGCAAGAACTCCTGGCTACCTGTTCCATACATTTCCACTACTCACACCTTCAAGTCTGCCTGGGACCAAGAGATTTCCCAGGACAGAACTTTCAGTAAAAAAACAGGAAAGTCCTGGGCAATCTAGGACAAGTTGATCGCCCTATAAATCACCATGTAACAGATCCATCTTTAGTGCCCTCTTACCGAATTCATTTTTTTTCATCAATTTTAATTTTTTACATACCAGGGAATATTCTTAATTAGTTTTGAACCATAGGATTTGTTGACTCCATGACTCAAATATTTTTTAAATAAATATAATAATAATAATAATAAAAAAAACCTATGTGGGATCTTGAGACTTCTGATTATTTTCAGTGAACTTTTAAAAAGGTAAATATTAGAGAAAACATAATAATTTTTTTGTGTGTGATATTTACAATGTAACATCCAGCAAACTGGGAGCACAGGGCTCTGATATTAAAGCTATTGTTACTTTTTAAATTTGTTCTAATTAGTTACACATGATGATAGAATGCATTTTGATGCATCATATATAAATGGAGTATAACTTCTCATTCTTCTGGTTGTACATGATGTAGAGTCACACCAGTCGTGTAATGTCCAATCCATTCTACTATCATTCCTACCCCCATTTACTTCCTTCACTCCTCTCTGTCTAATCCAAAGTACCTCTACTCTTCCCTAGCCCCCTGCCATCAGTGTGAATTAGCATCTACATATTAGAGAAAACATTTGATCTTTGGTTTTCTGTGACTTTTTAAGTCACAAAAAGCCGGAGTTGTCTTCTTGAGGCAGTGACTATTAAATGGAAAATCTTTGAAAATCACACATACACAGAGAGAGAGAGAGAGAGAGAGAGAGAGATTGAGAAGCGCTCCAAGTAGAAGAAGCTGAATGCTCAGCTCACCCAAGGACAAAAAGGCTGGGAATCTCTCTCAAGAAATACTCCATGCCTGTCATTTTGTAGTGCGGGGCCCAGGTACAACACTTGACCAGGGCCCGAGCTCCCACAGAGCGAGTCTTGCTCAGCTAGCAGTGAGTACATTTTCTGCTGCAAGGAGCACCTGACTCAAACTCCTTGAACCATGAGGAAATATATTATCTGGCAAAGCTAGAGTACAGAGGTAAGGCACAGTCCATTTTTGAGTAGCTCAGAAGCCACAACGACTTCCATGATCCCTAGGCATCCTTGCCCTCATGGTCCCCTTCCATCATAAAATAATAATAACAATAACAACAATAATAACTATATTTGACAACTACAATGGTATCAAGGTCAATCTATTTTCTTCTGATTTTAAAAGAAATTAAATCATCAAGGAGAACCCCTGAAAGTATCATGGGTCCTGGGATAGATACATGAGACCCAAGTTCTTTGCATCTGTTGACTATGGATAGTGTGTATCATCTGTGGGCTCAAGCTGGTTTACCGCCAGGCTGTACTGTGGCTGCTAAGTGGCAACTGAGGCAGTGAATCCTTTGTTCTGCTCTACTGTCAGCACAGAAAGCCTTTCCCCCAGCTATGGGAAAGAGCCCCTTCCTTTCAGTTCTTATGGATCCAGCATTGGTATTACATGGCCCACACCTGAAGCAGCAGTCATAAAACCCCAGAGTTGACTGCATTACTTTTAGACTAATCAGAAAAAATACCCTGGTGTTTGGAATGGGCACAATACCTAAATAATATTGGGTCATGTTGGAACAGAGAAATGGTCTACCACAGTTCACACACCACAAGTTCTAGCATCTAAAAACAATCATTCACATGTATTTGATATTCGCCAGAAGTTTCTTACTCAATCTTCAAAACAACTTTAAGAAGTACAGACTGGTATCCTCCCCATTTTACAAAAGCAGGAACTGAGGCTTAGAAACCATAAAACATTTGCCCAAGGCAGATTTCTTAAACAGAACAGAAAAGGATGAAATATAAAGAAAAAAGTAATAAATTGAGCTTCATCCTAATTAAAAATGTTTGCTCTCCAAAGATGGAATTAACAAATTGAGAAAACAAGAGAGACTAGGAGAAAATATTCAAAAAAAATTAATATCCAATAAAGGACTTGCAGGAACTATTCTTTAAAAATAAGTAAATAAAAAATAAGAAACTCTTGCAACTAATAATAAGACAAAAGAAGTAATAAATAAATAAACAAGATTTGTATGGGCCTTTCAGAAAGGAAGATACATTAATAGACAATAAGCATGTGCAAAATGTTTAGCACTCAACATCAGAAAATTATAAAATAAAACCATAATGAAATACCACTTAAACAGCAACAAAATAGCTAACATGATAAATACCTGGCAATATTTATATTGGCAAGTGTTGTCATGATGTGGGACAATGTTGTCGGTGGAAATGTAAAATGGTACACTTACTTCCGACAATATTTTTGGCATGTTCTTATATAGTTAAATATACCTCTACCATATAACCTAGCAATTGTACTCCTATTTACCTAATAGAAAACATATATGCCCACACAAATATTTCTGTGCTAATGTCCATATTGGAGTATAGCTACACAATGGAATACTATGTAACAATAAAAAGGAATAAGATTTTTATTAACAAAATTGATAATAAAAATTTTTGATAATTAAAATCTTTCTGATACTCCTAACAAGGATACATCTCAAAAATATGATAACTGAAGGAAGTCAGAACCAAGAGATTATATACTGTATGATTTCATTCACATGAACGTCTGCTGGGAAAAGGGCTGCAGGGGGAACAACAGTGTAAGCAGGGAGACCAATCAGGAGACTGTTGGAATAATTGAGATAGGAAACGCAATAGCTTAGACCAGGGTGTCTGCAAAGGAGATGATGAGAAGTGGTCCAATCCTGGATATTATTTGAAAGTGAAGCCAACAGAGTTTTCTGAAAGACTTGAATGTGAGAAAAAGAGAAATCAAGCATGAATCCATGATCTTGGATATGAGCAAATGGAAAGATGAAAATTCTATTAATTGAGCTGGTAAAACAGGTGGGTGAAGATGAGACCAGCATATGTGATCAGTATGAAATGTCCATTAGATGTCTAAATGAAGACAAGTCCACAGTTGGATATACCGGAAGAGATCCAGGCTGCAGATAAGAGTTTTCACCTCATTTTTCTGGAGAAAGGGCTGAATACAAGTAAAAAGAGTTCAAATGAAATAGAAGAAAACACCTGGATAGATCTTTTACTGTATAAAAAGTAAAGATCCATTTTAGAAAAGAAAAGTTTAAATGTTATTAGTGTCTGGGGAAAAGATGTACTGGAATTTTGATAATAAAAATCTTCAATACAATTATCAACACCCTGTATGTTCATATAAGGTTCAAGGAAGGTCATGGAACTCCTCTGAGCTTGTCCAATAATGCAAAACTTTTCACCAAGCTGGCAAGGTCTGGGCACCCATGAGAAACTTCTCTCTCCTGTAGTCTCTACCACCTTCCCACTCTTGGTCACACCTCTGCTTTCTATTCTTAGGCAGAGTTTAGTTCTTAATCCCTCCTTGTTTGCAGGTAATCTCTGTATTTGATGGTTTGGTTCTTAATAGGCACAGCTGCCAAGGAAGCAAACTATTAATCTGATTTTAAAGTTGCAGCTTTCAGAGATAACTCCAATCTGTGTGATATGATTCAGTGAAAAGAAAAAAAAATCTCTGTCCAGATTCCCAAAATTCCACCATTAGGTGAAAGGGGGAAGAAACAAAATACCCAACTTTGAATAAGCAGCGTTGGGGACTCCATCAAATGAACCAGCAGAAAAAAAAGATAAACTGCAGAGGAGAAAGAAGAACCACTGGATAGCGAGGGTTGAAAAACCAAAAGTAAACCTCTCCTCACAATTTGGTTGGGGTGAATTCCATGGCCCCCTTCCCAACACCTTGCACACTGTAGGCCACAAATATTTGTTGAATGAATACAGGAATTCTCATTTTTGTTTATTTGAGGAATCACCTTTTCCCTCAAAAAAAAAAGCCAAGAAATAAAGAAAAGGAAGGAAGGAGATAAAGAAGAAGCGGGGGAGGAGGACCATTTCTGTGGATGGGATTAATGTACTCTCCCAGGATTCACCTACTAGGGAAAATTTTTTTTAAACAACTTTTGAAACTTTCAAGGAGAGACGTTTGCCCCTCTTAGAACCCAAGAAATCTCCCTGTACTCCCTGAGCATCACCAAGGCTGATTCAAAGGCAGGGCATCACTTCTCAAATGTACTCTCTGAGGCCTGGGGTCCCGGTGAGTCAAAAAACTCCGGAACTGGAGAGGAGTGCAAGCTCTGGGCGGCGTAGACCCGCCCTGGGGGGCGCAGAACCAGCTGCGCGGCGCGCTGCCCCGCGGGCTTGCAGCGCTTGGCTGGGCGCTTGCGCCTCCCTCCGCTCTCTCCTCCGCCCCCCTTCGCCCTCCCTGTTTCCCTCTCTTTCTCCTCCTCCTCCCGCCGCCGCAGCCGCTGCCAGACTTCGCCAGTTCAGACCCACCGGGCTGCCCTCCCCTGCGCACTCCCCTCGCTGCCCCGGCCAGGAGCGCAGCACCGCAGCGCAGGTAGGACCCCCCTACGGGGGATCGCACCAAGCACGCCCAGCACCCCTGAGGCTGCGCGCCGGGGAATAAGGTGTGGTGACCTGCGAGGTGCAGAGCGCCCAAGAACTGCCCCGGACTGTGCAAGGTCTCTCAGGCAGAAAGGGAGGTGGAGGTGTGCGGTCTAGGAATGCGATCTGTCAGCGCGTGCGAGTGCTCCTGACATCTGTTGGGATGGGCATGTGTGTGCGCGTCTACGACCAACCGGCAGGGTATTGCCTGTAAACGTAGTTTTGAAGATTTCAGGAGACCCATGTGAGAAGTTTAAGCTGCACTTGGATTCCACACCAGCTAAAATAGAAGCCGGAGCGCTAAGCAGCTCTGACGGACAACCGCCTCTTAGCTTATAGTTGAGAAAGTGGACCTTACGTCGCTGGAGGCGCCAGGGCCCGCTGCCCCAAAGTTGGTACCCCCGGGGCTGCCGCGCGGTCCACGGTTCCGCCCCTAGGCAGCCGGATCCTGAAGGTAGCAGGTCGGGGACCTAGGGATTGATAAAATACAAGGAATTCAGAAGCTTTGGGCTGCTCCTCTACAGAACCTGAGGTTTTTAAACAAAGCTATGTGCAGAAATGCACTTTGAGAATGTGCACTGAAGGATGTGGGACGCTCTGAGGGATGTGGGAAGCTCCAGTATTTTACTAGAACTGGGAGGAGGTTGCTTTCCGAATTTTGTTTTGATATTTTGTTAAGGGGGGAAAAAAAGTTTGAGGCCAGGTAATCCATATTGATTCGCAGGTATTTTTGCTGAGCTATGCAAGGAACTTCACTAGCTGGAGGTGAGCATATAGGGAAATCCTTAAAGTTCAAGGGAATAGAGATTTACTGCCCTACTTCCACCCGCCCCTCCCCCCAGGGAGAAGGGATTCACCGTCGCCTTTAAAATTAATTACTGTTGATTTTCCTCAATTCCCTTTTTTCTGGAGCCTGCTGTGTAAGTGCAGTATAAAATACACGCCGAATGTCCTCTGAAAGTGGATGAATGGAATAAAGAGAAATGCAATTCTGCAGCCCCTTTTCAGTCTTTGCTGCCTTGTTTGGTGGCTACCGGGAAGGTTGGGGAGGGGGAGGAGAAATGAGAAAGCAGAAGAGAAGTTGGGTGTTGTAGAGCCTTGGCCTCCCCACCCTCCCTGTCTTGCCTGTTATTTCACTGCTGAAGTCCCCCCCCCCCCCCCCCCCCCCCCCGCGCGCGTCCCAACCCCCCGCAGCAGATACTAAACATCGATTTTGTCCTGTGTTTTCTTTGAGATTCACAATGTTGAAAGCCCTTTTTCTAACTATGCTGACTCTGGCGCTGGTCGAATCACAGGACACCGAAGAAACCATCACATACACGGTAAGGGGAGATGGAATTTGAGATAAGAATGTTCAGTGGGATTCTATGACACAAGAAAGATTTTACCCACCCCTGCCAGTGAATGCCGGTTGTATTCTGTGACGGGTAATAAATTAAACACCACTTTAGTATGGTTCACATTTAAGATATGTTGTAAATTGCCCAGAATCCTTTTAAAAGTTCATTTAGATCACCAATTGAGATAAAGACCAAAAAAAAAAAAAAATGTAATGATTTGTATGAGAACAAAAGAAAGGAAACCCATGTAAAATTAAAATCAAAGTAAGCCACATGTTTCCAACACATTTAATAAATTAATGGATGTAAGAAATCAGGAAACTTGGATTCCTACATACATGCAATTGAAATCAATAAGTGCAGAATAACATCAAGTCAAATAAGAATGTTAAGCATGATATAAGCACAACATCCCATTTGTGCATGTGACTTTTGTCATGGAAGCAGCCTTTATTAAATTTATAAAGGCTATATATTCACTTATAGTATAACTCACATAAGTACCCTACAGTATTCAGTATTGGCTAAAGCAGATTTAAAATGCAGTTTGTGCAACTCTGCTTTGCATTTTTTATTAGCATCTCTGATATTTCCAAATAGTGTTTGATTAACTAGTTAATGCATGAATATAACCAATATATAATGAAATGTTAAAAATATCATCTGACCACTCCCACTGCCAAAAATAGATGTGGTGAGAACAGAGCAAGACAGGACTTACCTCACTTGTGGTGAGTTTGCATCTCTGTTTTGTGTTTTCTAGTTTTTTGTCTATTGTGAAGTGAATGACATTTGTCCTGGTTCAGAATATGAAAAACACATTTTTCTATTTGCTCCCAATTTTAAAAATTAAGTAATCATACTCAAAAGAATGCAAAAGAAATTTTTTTAAGTTTGAAAGTGATTTTATGTCAATTATTGATAATAAACATTATCTCACTATTTTTTAAACTCCAGAATGTTAGTATTCATCTGGCAAATGTTTCTTTTTGTTGTTGAGATCAATTATAAATAAAATAGTATAATATAAATATTTTGTTAACTTGATGTTAAATGCAGTTGCTTCCTCTGCTGAAGATAAATAAAGCAAGAGAAATTAATGCATGTGCTGTTTATCTTCAAATGAAAATGTTTTATTATTCTGGTTAAACTTACTACCTTCTCAGGGAACAAAAATTTAATTTGCTTTTCCCTTTTGTAATCATATAATAAAAGACTTTATAATTGCTTACTTTATGCCCTTCTGTTTGCTAATAGCCTAAATCTAACTTATTTTTAGTAGAGAAAGCTTCCTGTAGATTAAGCACTGTAGTTTTAAGACTATAACCAGAGTTCACTATTATTCTAATAGATTTTCCAGATATGATGCACTTTTTGTGCTAAGATTAGGTCTCTTCTCTTTTGAATTGTGTATGCCTAATAATCCATAGTTAAAGGACAAGAGGTACCTATTCTCAAGTACTCCACTATGGAGACACTATCTCCTTTCATCATCACAGCAAATTAAGAGGTAAGTGGCATCATGCTCCTCCTGCTGATGACGGAACTGAAGACCAGAAGGAGTGTCTGCCTTGCACATGACTACACAGCCAGCAAGTGGTAAAACTAAATTCAGTCTAGGCTTGTTTAATAATAGGTCCAAAATGTTCTAGAACTAAATAGCTACAACCAACTGCAAGTCTTCACTACTTACCATACAGATTATTCAAGTGAACTGCCATCTTTGCCTGGTTTGAAAGATACTTTTTGGAAGGATGGGCTTATACAAGACAGCCTCATATTCCCCTTCCATATTGAAGGCTGGTTTTAGGCAGCTACTGACTCAACAAATATCTGCATAAGCCTCTCTCATCACTATCCAAAGAATTTAAGTGGCCAGGCAAGACAGCATACACCTGTAATTCCAGCATTTTGGAAGGCTGAGTTGGACCATTACAAGTTCCAGGCCAGCCTCAGCAATTTAGCAGGGCCCTCAGTAACTTAGCAAGATCCTGTCCCAAAATTAAAAAATAAAAAGGGCTGGGGATGTAGCTCAGTGGTAAAGTACCTCTGGGTTCAATCCCCAGTACCAAAAAAATAATAATTTTAAAAATTTTTAGTTTATTTATTTACTAAGAAAATTCAGCCTTCTATCTCAGGGAATTTACCCTAGGAAGGCATCATTGAAAACTACAAAGTTTCTAAGTAAATACGAATAATATTATACAGATTATATAAATTGCTAAAGAAATAGAAAAGCAAAGAGGTGATTAATGTCAGTGCTGGCCAACATAATAAAGAAGATACTGGGCTGGTTCTTGAAGAAGTTATGACCTCAGATTGATCTAGAAAGGCTAAAGATGCACTTGAGTCAGAGAGTGTGACATCACCATTTACTGGGGGTGAAATGGCCAAGACAAAGCCAGGAGGGCAGATGGGCTGGAGCTGGGGGTGGAGAGAACCTGGAGATGGTAATAATGAGCTATGAGAGGTGTGCAGCCCACTGTGAGCTCTTAGTAATCAATAGAGCAAAAATGATTATCACAGGGGCTACTGCAGAATGTCTAGATCAAGAGCCTTGTCGCCTCATGAGGCCAGGGAAGGTAGTAGGTAGAAATGTGGCTACTGTGGTCGATGTAGAAGCAGACTCAAGTAGGCAGAGCCCGAAGGAAAACAATTAGAGAAGTCAAAGCTCATGTTCATGGGTCTTGAGAAAGGTGGTAGTGGTACCTTGGAAGCGTTGGGGGAAAATAGAAAAAAAAAAAATAGTCTGGGAAATAACATAAGTTTAGTTATCATCCTGGTAAATTTCAGATGTCAGTTGAATAGTTCAAAGGATATCTCTACCTCCATTTAGCTAGTTATTTGCCGTACATCCTTTGTTGAATGAGGAACTCTTGGTTCTGTTAAAAGGATCTAGTTTGTTTGTTTGTTTGTTTGTTTGTTTACTCCATTTTTGCATAATCCTTCCTGAAGCATCTTCCTCACCATGACTTTCTCAAGCAAACATCTGATCAAATTGTCTCTGGAGCTTTAAAATTCTGCAGGGGACTCTTAGCACCTACAGTAACTTTTCTCAAGATGTAGCCTATAGGGGCAGGGGATATGGCTCAAGCGGTAGCGCGCTCGCCTGGCATGCGTGCGGCCTGGGTTCGATCCTCAGCACCACATACAAACAAAGATGTTGTGTCCGCCGAAAACTAAAAAATAAATATTAAAAAAAAAAATTTCAAAAAAAAAAAAAAAAGATGTAGCCCATAGATGACCTATTTGGGAATCACCTGGGATATTTATTAAGAATTCAGATTCCAGGTCTCTGGCCCTGACCTATAGAATCAGATCCTTTGTTTGAGAGCGCATCAGAATCCACATTTTAAAAAGCACCCTAGATAATTCATCCTAAGGCATAATAAAGCTTGAGATTCAGGGACCTTCTGGGTAGAATCTAGTACCCTCCATCCCAAGGAAAGGCTTCCTACATTTGGCCCTGCCCATCTCTCTAACCTCACTCCCCCACCCAGAACTACTTCCAGTCCTTTCCCTCTGACAGTTCTGTGCCTCGGCTCACAATGGTCTTCCTTCTTTGAAGAACCACATCTCCCTAGGAAAATCCTCCTCATTCCATAAAGCCCAATTCACCTGTCACCTCCCCTGTGAAGCCTTTCCTTCTGCCTTGTTCATACCCACCCCTCAGCCCAGGGCAGAGTGCCTCACCCCTTCCACATACACCCTTGTGTCACACCACTGACATCTTGCTCCAACTTGTCCAACTACCTGTCTCCTCTTCTGGCCCATGAGCTGCTTGAGGATTGGGGCAAGGTCTTCATGATCTTTGCATCCACAGGGCCTAGGACAATCCCTATGTGCTTGATAGATGGCTTGTTCAGGGAGTGAACAAGAGAGAACCCATAAGAAATAAAGTGAAGGGGAAGGCCGGGTGTGAGAAGCAGCTAATCATGGTGAGCAAAGCCGGGAGCTTGATTGCTCAGGAGGATTTAGAGAGAAGGAAGATGTCAGGGCTGGGGGAAGGAAGAACCTGGTGAATGTTTTGTCTTTTTTGGTAAAATTTACAATGTGGGAAAGGGGATGAATAATAGTGTAGTCAGAGAGACTGAAGAAGATTAATCTCAAGACAAAGAAAAGGATTCAAGAAAGATGGTGATGGGCAACTGTACCAAACCCAAGAGTTCAGACAGTGGCTGATTGAGAAGGGAACCCTGAAGCAAACCAATGCATAGACTTGTCTTTAAAATGAGGAAAGCTCGAGAATGTTAAGTTACCCATCTTGTATATCTAGGACCCCAGCCCAAGGATTGTTGCCCATGAGCATGATTTTGAGTGTCTTCTTAGGGAAACAACCAATTGTCTTCTGGCTCCATCTTTGATGTTTTCTTTGCAGCAATGCACTGATGGCTACGAGTGGGACCCTGTAAGACAGCAGTGCAAAGGTGAGCCGGCCTCAAGGACTTCCCATCTGAACACAACTTTCTGTCTCCATCTCTTGTGTTGCTCTTGCTGTCCTGTTTGTATTGTATCAAAAAGGCACGTGCATACAGTTACATGTTCTATTTTCCCTCTAAAAAGATTGCTGACTTATTGTATTCCTGACCACAGATATTGATGAATGTGACATTGTCCCTGACGCTTGCAAAGGTGGAATGAAATGTGTCAACCACTATGGAGGATACCTATGCCTTCCTAAAACAGCCCAGATTATTGTCAATAATGAACAACCTCAGCTAGAAACACCAGCAGCTGAAGCAGCCTCAGGCGCAGCCACCGGGGGTGTAGCTGCCAGTAGCATGGCAACCAGTGGAGTGGTGCCTGGGGGTGGTTTTGTGGCCAGTGCTGCTGCAGTCGCAGGCCCGGAAGTACAGACTGGCCGAAATAACTTTGTCATCCGGCGGAACCCAGCTGACCCTCAGCGCATTCCCTCCAACCCTTCCCATCGGATCCAGTGTGCAGCAGGCTACGAGCAAAGCGATCACAACGTGTGCCAAGGTGAGCATGACTTACTATGCTATCAAGAAGGTTCTCACCCAAGCATGAACCTGGTAAGAACAATAGCAGTAGCTCATGTTTACCAAGGGCTTCCAGTGAGACACTGTGCTGAGTGCTTTGTCCACCCTGGAATATTTAATCATTGCAATAATCCTAAAAGGTAATTGTCATCAGTGTTGCTATTGTTTTCCAAGTGAGGAAACTGTGGCTCAGAAAGTTCATCAGTAGTTCTCTCCCCTCCCATAGCTGTCCCTATTTATAGTCACTTAGGAACATTTCAAACTTTCTCAATGGCCAAACCACACCCTAGCACAATTAAATAACTGTTCCCAGAGGTAGATTCCAGGCATCAGTATTTTTTAAAAGCACCCCATGTGGATCAGCATGCAGCCAAGTTTGAGAACTGGAGGTCACACAGGTGGAAGTGCAGATCTGGCTTTCAAACCCCCGGCAAGAGGGCACCAGAGTAACAGTTGTCAGAAGTAGCTGTCAGGTGATTTGTCTGGAATTTGAAATAGTGCTCCATAAATGTCTCCCATTGGTTTCTCAAGCTTTATTGTCATTGAACTTATCAAAATACTGACGTATTTTCCTCATTCAGCAATAAAGAAACAGGGCTCCTGCCTCACTACCTTGGAGGGAGTCTCCACTGTTCACATTTACTTCTTTTATTTTTTTTTTTTTTTTGAGTTTCAAAAGCATTTATTATTTAAAAAGACCAACAATGTAAAACAAAAATAAAGCATGGTCTGAGAACTGGAGGTGTGGAGCAGAATGTCTGGTGAGAAGGGAGCCCTGAGCTGCTTCTGGAGGGACGGGCGGCCCAGCGCTGGACAGAAGAGGGGAAGGGGCCAGTCCTGTGGTGGAAATGTTGTGGGCAAAGTGATAGGGAAGAGAGGCAAGGTGCAGCTGGGTCCTTTAAATACCCATTGTTGGGTAGATAGAACCAAGAAATAGTATAAAGCTCTCATTTGAGCACATTTTGCTTCAATCACTTGCACCATGGCACCGTCTGCCTGGGCTTTTCTGTTTATTTTCACAGAGAGTACACATCACTGTGTATTCTAGAAACAGCTGCAGACTCATGCTAGCACAGCGATAAGAATCTCAGGCTTTGAAGACATGTAGGGTATTAGCTAACTGGACTGTGCTAGGGATTTTGTTTCCCTTTTCCTTCTTAGCAAACCCTTTCAGAGCTGCCTGATAATGGAGATTGTGTTAATGAGATGGGGCTGTAGGACTCCTTTCACACTGCTAGGAGCTAACTATGTAGAACCCATGTTATGGAGCTCGTTGTCACCACCACGTAAGTGCATGGCACATGCACACTGGCCAGTGGAAAGGACCCAGGAGTTCTCATCTCCAACTTCTGAGTGAGGAAGAGAACACCTTCCTTCCTCCACGCAGTTGGGGTCATGGAGCTACTGCAATCAGTGGAAGGTGAATCTCCTTGTGCCCTGAGATGCTGTCCTATTTACCAGTGCTTCATTTTATCTTCTGTATAAGAGACGATAGATTTTAAATGGCATATAGGTAAGGAAATCTATCATGCTCTGACTTTTATTATTTCATATTTTGTGTGCAAATTTTAAGTTACCCCACATCGAGAGCTAACCCATGCAGGGATGGTGTCACTTTTCAGAGGGAGCATCATTTGAGCATCTGTTTCGTGTTACTGTCATGAGTCAGAATTCCAATATTGATGATGAATGTTTCAGCATCTGCTTGATATTTTGATATTTAATTTAAGGATTATGTCAAGGAGATAAACTGATGAGGTTATTTTTATATATGTATTTGGGTGAATATGGATTAAAATTACCTTGAGTTTATTTAAGATATACAAACTTTTAATTGTTATTTAAAAATATAATTAGATTGGAAGATTTGGTGGTGTTTCCTGGAATTTAAAAATTTTTGTTGGATTTCAGCACTGACTTTTCTGTTTTGAGTTATTTTTAGTCTTTCGGATATTAGAAATTTAAAAGTACTTGGGAAATTTAAAAAAAAAAAAACAGAAAATGAATGGGTTATTGCCCAAAGTGGTTTATAGTCCATCATTGACACTTATGGTTGAATTTAAGATCACTGCCTAAAACTGCATGAAAAATTCTAGAATGAAATATTCAAGACTTACAATACCCATTGGTCACAGTAGAAATTATACTTTGAATAATGAAAATGAAATTCCATTTAATTTTTCTTGATTATATTTAGACTACCTTCCAAAATTACTTTTAACATATTAAGACATTTCTAATTCTGCTTCTTTGGGATTTTTCTTTTAGTTATAAACTGAAACTATTAATTACCTTCTTGTAGAAAATTGAAATACAGATGTGTTTATTGTGTGCAAACAGGGTATTTCCAACCCAAACAGTTCTATATAATTGAGCCGATTTCTAAAATTTCAGATTGGGATCTGTACCATCGAAAGTAGGGTTAAAAATTTTTTGGATGAACTTAAGGCTCAAGTTGGATTTCTTCCCACCTTACAATTTTACAAAGTGCCCATAAATGTGGATTTATTTAATTGTTGATAAAGGGGAGTTATTTCATATGATAACAACAGGATAATCTGTCTAGGGAATCTGACTAACATAAGTCGAGTCACACTTGTGCCCATTTATTATTGAGCTAATCAAACATGCAGTCCAGGTTCTTCTAATTGCCTGCAGATGTATGACATTCTCATTCCAGGCCAGCAGCACAAAATAACATTTTATAACCAATATGAAAGTGTGGGGACCTTTGCTTAAAACAATAATGTGCTCCAAGGACCTATATTCCTGACATCATCATGCAGTTTGAGGAGCCTTCTGTTTTAATAAAGATCTCCACTCCCTTTTAAATGTTGCATACTTCTGCCCAGTAAGCCAAACACATTTACCATGGTTGGCTGGATAAGAATAGTGAATGCCTCCTTATGAGTCATACTTGTACAAAAAATATTTCTTTTTTCCACATGTATTTTTCAACAGGTACAGTTTATCACTACATAACCTAAAACTAAGAACTTTTTTTTTTAATGTAAGGGTTGAGATCTGTACCATGTCTCAGTCTTAAAATCAACTTTGCCTTTGAATGCCCTATACCAATCACAGAAAGTTCCTACTAATTTAAATAATGTTAGATTTTTTTTAATTTTTTATTGTTGGTTGTTCAAAACATTACATATTTCTTGATATATCATATTTCACACTTTGATTCAAGTGGGTTATGAACTCCCATTTTTACCCCATATACAGATTGCAGAATCACATCAGTTACACATCCATTGATTTACATATTGCCATACTAGTGTCTGTTGTGTTCTGCTGCCTTTCCTATCCTCTACTATCCCCCCTCCCCTCCCCTCCCCTCCCCTCTTCTCTCTCTGCCCCCTCTACTGTCATTCATTTCTCCCCCTTGTATTATTTTTCCCTTTCCCCTCACTTCCTCTTGTATGTACTTTTGTATAACCCTGAGGGTCTCCTTCCATTTCCATGCAATTTCCCTTCTCTCTCCCCTTCCCTCCCACCTCTCATCCCTGTTTAATGTTAATCTTCTTCTCCTGCTCTTCGTCCCTACTCTGTTCTTAGGTACTCTCCTTATATCAAAGAAGACATTTGGCATTTGTTTTTTAGGGATTGGCTAGCTTCACTTAGCATAATCTGCTCTAATGCCATCCATTTCCCTGCAAATTCTATGATTTTGTCATTTTTTAATGCAGAGTAATACTCCATTGTGTATAAATGCCACATTTTTTTATCCATTCGTCTATTGAAGGGCATCTAGGTTGGTTCCACAGTCTTGCTATTGTGAATTGTGCTGCTATGAACATAGATGTAGCGGTGTCCCTGTAGCATGCTCTTTTTAGGTCTTTAGGGAATAGACCGAGAAGGGGAATAGCTGGGTCAAATGGTGGCTCCATTCCCAGCTTTCCAAGAAATATCCATACTGCTTTCCAAATTGGCTGCACCAATTTGCAGTCCCACCAACAATGTACAAGTGTACCCTTTTCCCCACATCCTCGCCAGCACTTGTTGTTGTTTGACTTCATAATGGCTGCCAATCTTACTGGAGTGAGATGGTATCTTAGGGTGGTTTTGATTTGCATTTCTCTGACTGCTAGAGATGGTGAGCATTTTTTCATGTACTTGTTGATTGACTCTATGTCCTCCTCTGAGAAGTGTCTGTTCAGGTCCTTGGCCCATTTGTTGATTGGGTTGTTTGTTATCTTATTGTCTAATTTTTTGAGTTCTTTGTATACTCTGGATATTAGGGCTCTATCTGAAGTGTGAGGAGTAAAGATTTGTTCCCAGGATGTAGGCTCCCTATTTACCTCTCTTATTGTTTCTTTTGCTGAGAAAAAACTTTTTAGTTTGAGTAAGTCCCATTTGTTGATTCTAGTTATTAACTTTTGTGCTATGGGTGTCCTATTGAGGAATTTGGAGCCCGACCCCACAGTATGTAGATCGTAGCCAACTTTTTCTTCTATCAGACGGCGTGTCTCTGATTTGATATCAAGCTCCTTGATCCATTTTGAATTCACTTTTGTGCATGGTGAGAGAAAGGGATTCAGTTTCATTTTGTTGCATATGGATTTCCAGTTTTCCCAGCACCATTTGTTGAAGATGCTATCCTTCCTCCATTGCATGCTTTTAGCCCGTTTATCAAATATAAGATAGTTGTAGTTTTGTGGATTGGTTTCTGTGTCCTCTATTCTGTACCATTGGTCCACCCGCCTGTTTTGGTACCAGTACCATGCTGTTTTTGTTACTATTGCTCTGTAGTATAGTTTGAAGTCTGGTATCGCTATACCGCCTGATTCACACTTCCTGCTTAGCATTGTTTTTGCTATTCTGGGTCTTTTATTTTTCCATATGAATTTCATGATTGCTTTCTCTATTTCTACAAGAAATGCCGTTGGGATTTTGATTGGCATTGCATTAAACCTATAGAGAACTTTTGGTAATATCGCCATTTTGATGATGTTAGTTCTGCCTATCCATGAACAG